CATCGTTGTGCTTGATACAGCGAGCACTACAAGTGCACGTTAACTGATATAGAACAAAAGGTTGGGGCTGATGAGGCCATTTATCCGTAAGTTACTTACTTTACTTTACAATAAGTTTTTGAACAGTGAATGGTTCGGTCCTTGATGATAGCAATTAGGATCATGAATTCAGAGTTATACAAGCAAGGTAGTCTGGTTCAAGCGCTGCTTTTATCATGGCCATAAGAACAATTACCCATATCTCTCTCTATGTGACACTTTCTATTCTCTCCCTCCCTCCCCCCCCCCACTCCTCATTGANTGTCATTTTTCGCACACTTCAAACATGGTTCATTCATTTTTGACTAACACCCTTCATATCACGTCTAGTTCACACACTTTTTATCCGACTTTTCCTCATACAATTATCGTGACCGCATAGCTTATTGTCGACCGAACATTTTGCACACAGACATTCACTCAACTCCGGAATAAGTCTTGTATTATTCTACTGACTAATCGAATTATATTTGTAAATGCCTGAAACGAGCTATCGAAAAGAAATTTCCTCGCGTTTCGACTTTGTTCTTATTCATCAATGGGAACTATCTAAATATCACTTGAATACAACGCCAATCACCTCCATTGGGAATGGAAACTAATTCCACGACAGTGGACAGATTTATCGCAAACCGACTGCCTAAAATTTTTGCCTCCGCGTGAGTCGCTCAGTACATAAAGGAAAACAGTGCTGAAGTGCCGGGTTCATGTCACTCTCTTGGAATCCCGATCACTAACATTAGATCTTATACACGACGATATGGACCTGGAGATAACCCCGTAGCCTGTAGGAGACCTCTATGGTGAGTCCACGTAGACCAAGAACCAGCCTATCAGTGGCACATTGTACACATTTTGAATAGACCAACTCAACAACCGTGTAAGGGGTCCCGCAGTGCCTTCGTGCTCAACCCTCCGTCTGATAGGGGAGGAGTAAAGCAATCTGGTCCAGGGATGCCCCATGATGAGACGTAGACTCAGTCAACGTTGTGACGGGTTTTCGATAAGGTGATGACTATAAATGCGAAACAATAAGCACTGAACTGAACCCCCGGGAAATTACACCCCAGGTGCAGGAAGGCATACTTAGCAGTGCTACCCAGAACGGACCAGTCATCGTCGTTGTGCAACGAGATACAGTGAAGCAAACTCCACTGATCGGTTCCAGGCTCATTGGAGCTTTATGGACGGGTACTGCCAGGGAGTCCAACGACTAAGCGCCAACATGTTACGATCCGTTTGTAGTAGAAATCCCCGGCACTCCGAATTGCGCCGGACTTTGATGTCGTCGACATACACAAAGGATCAGTAGCACAACCATCCCGGTAAGTGGTTTATTTTATTCCCATTTGCATTCAGGACTCGGAAGTGAAGAGCTGTGCTACTGGGCACAACCCCCAATCGCGGCAGAGGACAGCTGCCATCTTGAGGCAAACCATGACTGAAGTGGGGTCATGATCATTGAATAAGCGGTCGCAGAGGAGCAGCGGCAGTGCTTGAGGATGTGATGGATTCAATTTTTTCCAAAATTCTTTCGCACAAAACACTATATGTACCTGCGAGCAGCACTGTGATCCACCACTAAAATATGGTCATTGCCCTTATCAAGTTCTGTTTACAAGACAGTTCAATTTTTACAACCATTAACATGCACTTTCTTGCGTTAGTTTTGGTTGCTGTCTTTTGGCTGCCCATTCGGTTATCCGTATGCGAATAAACCGAATAACTAGCCATTGGCTCATCTGGATTAACGCTGCTGACACGCAGTTCGGGGTTGGTTGCGCAAAAGGCTAGAATGCATCCTCAAACAAGGCCTACTCTGGGCGAACTGACCAAGTTACACAACAATCCACGACGCTGATTACCATAAACTTGCACAGAAATTTGATATTACACTCAAAAATTGCTCCACTCCAAACCATAAACACCTTTATACCCCTCTCACAAATCTCTCCACCTTCACCCCATTCCCCCTTACATATTTTCGTTTACAACGGGAAATTCAGATGACTGTATTAACAGTAGTGCTTCAGATGAAAATTCTGCCGCTGTTCTCCCGCGCCGTGTTTTCATTATCGTGTAAGTTTGACTGGGTGATCCATCAGCTGAATTTATTCTTTGTCCTCGATACTCCTTCAAATTAGCCCCATTCGACA